TAATATAATTTCATTTGAACTGCAGCACCAAAGCAATTTATGTCAGTTGTGAGTTATTTGGTTCAGTCAATGTGCTTTTCAGAGCCTTTTTAGCATGCATCACCTCATTAAAATGAGTTTCTAATTTTATGTTCATGAATACAAATGGTCACATTAGAATTTTCACATCCTGTTAGCAGCACACAAACATGTCTGCTCTCATTTCAAACATTTGTTATGGTCATTTTTGTAGAAGGACAATTTTCAGCTAAAAAGGAGAATATACCAGAACTATGCACACTGTCCGTTTGAACTCTGTATGTCTATTTTCATATTTAAAACTACAATTTAAATTTAAAGGGACTTTACGGAGTTTTGAATTTTTATGCTCGTGATTGCCCCCTCAGACCAAAAGCGTGACGGCAGCTTCAATAGTAGGCTCGTGCACGAGGCGCGCATGCTGTAAGTGCACACTCCTTAACGAAAATAACAGCTGAGACAGTCCCGTGTGTGTGTGTGTGTGTGTGTGTGTGTGCGTGCGTGTGTGTGTGTGTGTGCGTGTGTGTGTGTGTGTGTGCATTTGTGCGTGTGTGTGTGTGTGTGTGTGTGTGTGTGTGTGTGTGCGTGTGTGTGTGCCCCGCAGGACAGAGGACAGGAGAACGCGCAGCTAATTAATGAAATAATTTGGTTCTGTACCTTTCTCTTCAGCACAGCCAACAAAAGTTTAAGATGGGTCAGTCCTTCTGCATGCTCAGATCATTCCCTTCCCTTGCTTGAAAAATTGTTCCAAAATGAAAGTCTTTTTTATCTGTGAATTCAATGCCGTTCGGCGAGTCTCAAATAAAAATTTGGGCATCTTACTGTAAAAAAAAATACCATTAATGTACAAAAGAAACTCTAAATAAGCTATCTTCACATACAGAATCGAACCCGGGTCTTCCGCACAGGAATCTGATATCATACTAGGTGAGCTAAAGCGCCATTGATGGCTTATGTATCTGTAACATTTATATCCTCGATGACAGCTGAAACAACGTTCAAAGAACGGTTCGGAGCGAAAATGGCTATTTTGTTGCTAATTTGCAGGAAATATCTAGAAGAAAGTAGCTAAGGGTCCTCAGACATGCAGCTAGGTTCATCACTAGGCGTTAGGAACAGTGACAAATTCGCTGAGTTGGCACTACCTCACTCTGCTGCTAAAGCTACTGATGGCAAATGCTACGGGCTATGTCTGAGCGTGAACGCGCATGAAGCAGCCTGCTCGACCCGAGCAGCTCTCTTTTCTGTGATTTTACAGAAAAACAGGCAATCACAGTAAAAATGCCAGGGCTCATTCTACAGGACCAGGGCATTGCAGGAGAATGTATGAAGAAGAAATTTATTATTTCTATACATGTTTTGGCTGTCAAAATTCCATAATGCCCCTTTAAGAACTATCTGAAAATTGAGATTTTTAACCAGAAATAAAAACTGAATTTCTGTTATTGTTCAAGGAGATTCTATTCTATTCTATTCTATTCTATTCTATTCTATTCTATTCTATTCCTCTCAATACACACTGACTTGTTTTCCTCAAAATCAAGACAAAAAAAGTTTGGTCAAACTGTGAGTCCTACATCATAATAACTAGAAAAATTTGCATTTCTTGCAGAAATGCTGTTTGAATGCTGGATAGCTAAAACTGTAAGCTGAAGCTGCTTAACAGCTGAACTGAAGCTGAAACTAAGCAAAACTGACAAAATGAGTTGAATGTATTGAAAGAAGTAGAAGCAAAAAGCACCAACAACCAAGTAAAGCACAAAAAGTAAGTGAATAATAGAGACAAATAATCCTAAACAGCAGAAAACTGAAATATGTGAACATTATATAAAAATCTGGACAGCTAAAATGTCTAAACACCTGTTATTTCTGTAGGACAAGTTTAACAGTTTAATCTTTACATTTAGCTGAACTGTGAAATTAGCAGCATATGCTAAATTTGGAAACTGATTGCTGAAGCTGTTGAATAGCTGAAGTGAAGCTGAAACTAAGCTAAACCATCAAAATGAGCTGAATGTATTTAAAGATTTAGAAGCAAAAATCACCAAGTATAATTAAGCTCAGAATATAGGTGGAGAATGGGCAAAAAAATGCTCAAGAGCAGAAAACTTAAATCTTTGAACATTGATTAAAAACTCAAAAGTTGAAATGTTTAAACAGCTGGCATTTGAATGAGAATAGTTTAATGGGTACATTTTTACAATTGGCTGAACTGTGAATTTAGAAACATTTACTGATATCTGAAACTGACAGATTAACATATATTCAGACTTGGTATGGAATTGATGAATGGTTGGATGAATGAAATGATGGATGGACTGTTGGATGGATGTTAGATAGTTTATTGGATGGATTGATGGATGGATGGATGGATGGATGGATGGATAGAAGCATGTATGGATTTATATGTGGATGGATTCCTTAGGCCAAGCCAATCGATTTGATGTCTCACATGTGTGGGTGTGTAATTCCATTTAGCCAGAAGATGATTGACCTCTCTCAACCAATCAGGGAGCTGGGAGGGAGTGGGGCACTTTCCCACTTTCTGACGGTCAATCAAATTTAACTTGTTTCTAGTTTTAAGTACAGATAGTTCAAAAAGATCAAAAACAGAAGTCTGTTATTGGCTCAATATTCAGCTTTTTACGTTCATTCCTATGAGACTTGGTTAAAGTAATTTGTAGTTTCTTGTGTTTCCATGGTAACAGATGACAGGAGTCTGCTTTAACAAAGCAATGTACAATGTCATATGACTCTTTTAAACTTTGAATAACATTTCTATATTAAAGTATGTTGATACAGTTGTGTCTAAAATGTTGTTAAACGTTGTTGCTAAACACATTGCCATGGTAACGCAGAACACAATATCAAGTTAATACAAGACTCCTGGGACCAAGCAGGTTGAGTTGATGTATCATATGTGTGGGTGCATTTTTCCTTTTAGGCGGAAGACGATTGAAAACTCTCAGCCAATGAGAGAGCAGTAAAGGAGGAGGGGGCAGTTCCTGCCTTCTGACTAGTGTTAAAATGTTAGCTATGCTGCTAGTTTTAAGTGTATTGAGCTCAGAAAGATAAGAAACAGCAGTGTGTTTTAGGCTCAATATTAGGCTTTTCACATTCATTTCAGTGAGACTTGTTTGGGGATATCCTTATGCACTTGTGTTACCATGGTAACAGATAACGCATATAAAATTTTATACAAGATTCCTGAGATCAAGCTGGTCGATTTGATGTATCATATGTGTGGGTGCTTTCATCCTGCTTGGACAGAAAAAGGTTGAACACTCCTCTCTGATGTTGTAGTTTCCATCAGCAGCTTGGCAGAGTGGCTCATCTCAGAGGTGCCGCCTGGCGGCAACATCGGCTTTGATCCCTTCCTGTTCTCCCTCAGTAAGTCTCACTTTGCCGCCTCATCTGACAGTCCTGCCTCAAATCAATAAATCACTTGTAAAGTAGAAAAAAATGTATTGATAGAGCCACAGGACGCCATGCAGACTGTTTACTTGTAGTCAATTCCAGTCTGTGTGTGTGTAATCTTCTGCAATTTCCTCCATTAGAGACACAGGAGCGCTACGCCATCAGTCTGGAGTCAAGCAGCCGAAGCTTGAAGTCAATCCCTATTAATCTGGTTGACCAGGTGTGGAAGGACAGACCTCCACTTCTACCAGAAAGCCTCACCCGCCTCCCTGATAGAGTCATACGTGGGTCTTCTTGCATTTGTGTTTACGTAACTGTGTTTTATGCACACACACACACACACACACACACACACACACACACACACACACACACACACACACACACACACACACACACACACACACACACACACACACTGCAGGTGGGCTGTGTACTGATAAATACCTGCAAACTGGACAGAGAGCACTAAGCAGCTCTGCAAACACAACCATAAATGTGTGTTGTTGGTTTTTTTACATCTGTCAGACAGATAAAATCCTGACTGGATAAGCCTCCAGACAAGGAAAGTGTCCTGATGTTTGACTTATTAGCCTTTATGACTGGAGATTAGAGCAATGGAACAAATAGAGGGCACCATTAGACTTAATGGTGTGTGTGTGTTTGTGTGTGTGTGTGTGCGTGCGTGCGTGCGTGCGTGCGTGTGTGGGTGTGTGTGTGTGCGTACTCGTGTGTGTGTGTGTGTGTATATTTGACTATAAACTGGAAAAATCGTTTCGTGCAGGGCTTTAAGCAAGTTATTTATTAATACTGTCTCATAATGTAAATTTGGATGTTTTTATGCTTGGCTGACCGTCTGGAGTCCATTAGGTAATCAAAAATTGGTGGATGACTTGAATGTCAAAGAACAAGGTGACGTCTCTGAAATGAACACATTCTATTTGTGTGACTGAGCACTCTGAAGCATCTTCACTGTCAGAGCTTTGTTAATTAATGCGTTTTCAGTATTTTCGTGTGTCCAGCTGTTGTTTTGCTTTCCCTCAGTGCCAATTATACATACTTTATAGCAAAAACATAGTTCTTACTTTGACAGCCCATTGCTTTCACATGAAACAAACGTGAAAGTTATGATCTTTCATAATGTCAGACAATATTCACTGTTGCAAATGTTTGTTATTAAAAATGTGGAACACTGGAAACTCATTTTTAATGAATATTTCTGATTATAATCCGTCACTCTGAGTTTTGCGCGCAGGCTGAACACGAAATAGTCTCCTACACCTATCTTCTGCATTAGCTTCTGATAATAAATTGTGAAACTCTAGGATTAGAAAATCCTGACAGATCTACGTCACACTGTCACTTAACATTCATGGACTCACCCATCTTGACTCACGACAGGGAAGGCTGTTGTTGGTAGGGATGGGTACCGAATTCGGTACTTTTTAAGGTACCGACCGAATTCCATAGTACCGACCGAGCACCGATTCACGTCATTTCAAATGGTGCCTCGTTTCGATGCCCGTCCTTCATAACGAGAACTTGCCAAGACAGCTGCGCATGCGCAAGAGCGTTATGTCATCGCTCGCTGCGAGCCAGTTGTAAACAGAGCAGCATGCAAAGAACGCACGCTAAAGCTTGGGTCCACTTCACTAAATGTGATGGGTAACTAACTGGGTGATGATGAAACCAGCGACAACGATCTAAGTGAGACATCCTCATCTTTATCTGCTCCGGTAGGTAAATAAAATGTTTAAGATAACGTTAGCTTGATTTGTTAGCTTCCGTTTCGCTAATGGTGCATTCGCTTTCTCCTCGGAACTCCAAATTTCCGACTAGAAGAACATGAACGCGCTCTAAAGTTTGGCTTCACTTTACAACGATCTAAGTGTGAGGCATCATCATTTTAATCCTCTCCAGCAGTTAAACAAACTGTTTAAGATAACGTTAACTTGATATGTTAGCTTCCTAAGTCACTGTTGTTATCAGCTAATGGTGCGTTCGCTTTCTCCTCGGAAATTCTAACTTCCCAGTAGGAAAAATCAAATGAAACAACATGGCAAAAGGAATGAAGATACACAGTAAATTTAGTTCACAGTAAAGATGTTTGCTTCAGTTTAATTATCAGCTTATAAAACTACAAGGACGATGTTAAAATACAAACAGTTGAATGTTATTTATCGTGATATTTATCAAATATTTTTATATATTGCAAAAAATATATATTTAATTATAAAAGAGAATTAAAATAATAAACACTCAAAAGTATCGAAAATTGGTACCGTTAAGTACCGGTATCGATTCCTAGGTACCGGGAATTTGTACCGAATCGATTCAAATGTCAAAGGTACCCATCCCTAGAACGTGATTAAATGTACACTTATTAAATGATCAATAAGATGTGATATTCCACATAAATATGAATTATCAATCTGATTGTTCTTTGAATATTTGATTTAATATTACCTTAGGTTTTTTGGACTATTCAGGGAAACACACACTTCATATTAATTCAGACAGAGTCAAAATATAGTTTATAAAAATAAATTTAATTCTATATTTCTAAACTAATGATTATACATGACTAATTATAATGAATGATGGGTGGACAAGATAACAGAGACAATGAACAGAATGATGGAATGTAAGTAAGATGTTTTGTAGCAAAACCTTATTAAGAATCTGAGAGATCTTGTGATGTCTGTTGTCAAATCAGTTTGACTGTATGGCTTAACAAGCTATCAATTATTCATAAAGCCATCCCACGCCAGCGTGCAGGTCTACAATACCCTTGTGTGACGGCAGCTCTCGGCGGTCCGGAGGAAAGGCAGCCAGATTGGCGATGTCACCAAATGGATTGGCTCCTGGAAACTCAAAGAGTCGTAGTTCCCTGTGAATTAAATTATCACCGGCCATAAGATGCTGCCAGGTTCTGATGAGTTGTTGCATCTGATGCCACTTGCAAAGAGGCTTTGACCTTGAGTCAAGAGAGAGGATGGTTCCAAGTACTTTGCTCACCCGGTCAGCTGAACCAGGAAGCTGCTGAGAACTGGCTAGTCCAGGAAGTGAATCAGCTTTTATTAACTGTTGTTTACACATTTAGACAAATCAGAATTTGACAAGTTTAAAATACCTCAGACATCCCTCCTTCTCTCAGAAACTTAGGGAGGTAATATTCTTAATGTGAAGTAAAATGTCAAACATTTATGTGAGGTGAAAATATGAATCATTAACAATAAAATGGCAATATTAATGTGTTCATACTGATAGATTAACATTATTAAGTTCAACAAATACTAATCTAGTGTAATTTAAGATCTGAAATAAATCATTACAGGAATAACATCAATGTTAACCCATCTTTCATTAATGTAGTGTATTGGACACATTATTAAAATACTTTGGATTTAAACATATTGTCCATTCAACAAAATATGATTATATAAACTTATAAAGATATAGTGTCATTTTATGAGCCAGGAGTGATAAACTTTATTCAGAGGATGGATAAGAGGTCCTGGGTCTTCTTCAGCCTTGAGGAGTCGTGACGTACCACATGATAAGTTAAGAATGTTGGCTCAAGTTCATAGACTTCATATCGGCACCACGGTGTCAGACTGGCCTGTATGAATAAGTTAAGTTTTGGTCATTTTGATTAAATACTTGGCCAATTGGTAAGCTACATGGTTTAGAGTCCAGGAAACCTCAGAGTCTAGGCTAGTAGAAGCTAACCATTAGCATTTGCAACTCTACCACGCAGCAGAACTTCTCCAGGCTTATGCTATTTGTGGAGATAAAGCATCAGTGTTGCAGATCAAACACAGTCAGTGGTAGAGTTGTGTTGCTGTTATCCAATAAGAGAAGAGATGTCCACGTTTCAGGAAATAAGACTCCAAATCCTGTTGTCTGAAGCTCTACGCTGATGTGGCGCAATTCTAGTTCCTGAAACTGGTGCACCAGTGTATTTTTTCCCCAGAGAACAATGTACAAACATTGATTCCTACTAGGGACTACTGCTAATTCATGAAATAATTCATTAAACAAGTGTTCACCTTTAAAGCGAGTTAGAGAAATTTTTACTTTTTTTTTTTTTTTTTTACAGAATGCAATTAAAAGTTACATCTCTCTGCAGAAAGGTCATGGCAACTGAAGGTGGAGCACATACGGAGTCTGATGAGGGACAATCCATACAAGCCCACGGCACTTTTGCTCTCAGCTCTGGATGAAACAGCTTGTGAGTAAAACTATTCAGAAAACATTAAGTTACATTAGTGAAGGAATGCTGATTACTCATCCCATGAAAGCTTGACTAAACCTCTAAAACAGAATGTAGCTTGTGACGGTTTTTAAGTACCAAAGAAATTACATTTGTTTTTCTCCTTTGAAAAAATTGTTTAACAATATGGGTTAATTTGTCAAAGTAAAGTCAGAAAATATTTTTTTATTAAATTATTATGATTTTCCTTTTGTAAATACAAATATTAACCCTTTTTTCTATTTTCTACATGTTACCTGAGGTGCATTGTTGCTTTAAAAATCGACACTTGACTCATCAGTACAGAGGATATTGGCGTGTTGTTTTGGCTTTGAATGTCTGCAGAGAGAGGGAAAAACATAGTTTTTTATGATTGGGCCTGAAACTAAACACGCTAAATCTTTCCTTTATGTTTAGTCTAAATACTAAATAGAAAACATATTTCCTGAAATAAGTAAATAAGTGGAAAATAAATATTTAAAAGCCAAAAGAGGTGAAAAGTAAAATGTTGCTCAAATCTCTGCCTTGATCCAAATCTAATATCGGTGATGTAAAAACACCCAACTGAAAGTAGAGTTTCTAGAATGATATCAACAATCAGGGCATGAAGCAGAATGCACTCAGCTGCACCTCAGCCTAACAATAATTATTCTCAGACATCTTTTGTAATTCATAAGGAAGAAGCACAGCTTTGTAAGTCATTCCTCAGTCAGAATACTGATTTCAGAAATTGTGAATCTGTTTAAATGACAGAAACTAAAAGAAGTCATGGACCTAAAACTTGCATAGTGGATGCAAACAGGGCTTTATGGTCTCAGTGATGGATGGAAATAACCCGAATGAATAAATGAACGAAAGCTTCTACTGGTTGAAGATGATGTTTGTGTTTGTTTGCTTTTCAGGGATCTTTAATCTCCGTGGTAACGACATTCCTTACAATCCCTTCTTCTACTCCTACACTCTCCTGACCATGAATGAGATCTGGTAATTTGCTCATTAAGTTGTGCAATTTGAAGGAGATAACTGTCAATAAGTTCATGTTTTAATTCCTCTGAAAGCTCCACACAGCTGTGATCAATTTCACTTATAAAGGAGTTAAAAGTGTCCCTTGTGTCTCCTACAGGCTCTTTGTCCACACACACCGGGTCACCGAAGAGTTGAGATTGTACCTGAACACATCCTGTAACGAGTCCCTTTGTGTGCAGCTCAGAAGCTACGACTCTGTCCTTGAGCATCTAAAGAGCTACGTGAGCCAGCCAGAGGTTAAAGTGTGGATTGGTACCGAGTACACAAACTACGCTCTATATGAGATCATAACACCACAGGTGTGCAGATCCTTTGTGTCTCTACACAATCAAGCATTCACAGAGAGAGTTAAAAGTTTAATTTAAACAAGTAAACTCTTTAGATTTTTGCAACAACATCAAATAGCAGTGTAGGATTTAGGTTTATTTATTACTGATAATTTGGTTTCTTCTCATGCAGGAGAAACTAATGACAAGCTCCTACTCTCCTGTGTTGACCACTAAAGCTGTGAAGGATGAGACCGAGCAGCAGATACTGAGGGATGCTCATGTATGTCCAGCACACACACACACACACACACACACACACACACACACACACACACACACACACACACACACACACACACACACACACACACAAATGTACAGATGCAATACAGTTATTTTTAAATATTTGCTTAACATTGCTCATCCACTTTTATAAATCTTACATTAAAACTTTTTTTATTTTTTGCTATTTAAAGCCAAACTGGTCAGTTGTTCATTTCACTGGTATCTTGAACATAGGTAAACACACAACTTGACACGTTTTTCTTCTAATATGAACATTTTGCTCTGTGCAGGTGAGGGATGCCGTCGCTGTAATCCAGCTGTTGATGCGGCTGGAAAAGATTGTTCCCGATGGGAAAGAGACGGAGCTGAGCGCTGCAGAATATGTCAATAAATGTCGCAGGTGGCTAAACACGTAATGGTTGATGATTTATAACAAATGTGACTTGAAGCATTTGTAGACTTAAATGATTTATATGTTGCAGCAAACAGAACAACAGCAGAGGCCCAAGTTTTGAAACCATCTCTGCAAGTGGGCCAAATGCAGCTCTCGCCCACTACAGGTTTGATTACTACTTCTTCTTAATCCTATATTTGAACTTTGCAATGAAGTATAATTATTAAATAATCAAGACATTTTCTAACAAAAAAATGGGCATAAAAAAATAAAACCTCAATTAAATAAATGAAAAACTTACATTTTTTTCTGGGAGAAAATCATCTCACCTTTCAGGCCACAGCTGAAGCACCACGTCAGTGCATCGTCATGTGTGTTTGTACTGTGAGCTGTACCTGAACTTATAACACCATGCTTCCCCCCCCCACCCCCCCCCAACCCCCCCCACCCCCCCACCCCCCACCCCACTTTGCTATTTAACAGCCGTCATCAGCAGAACTGGAAGATTTACAGCTGGTTCTGGAACAGCAAAAATGCTTTCAACTGAAAAAGGACAGGAAGTTCCATTTGCTGATAAGCTTTGATAGAAGTACAGGAGACTTGTCCAATATATTTAGCAGTTGTCAGCATATCTAGAAATGTATTACTTAAAAAAAAGACCAGTTACTGCAACATTTCTGTCTATTCTGGATTATGGAGACCTTTTGTATGCCTCAGCACAGTGTCTTGGTAAGATTGATGTGGTTTATCATGCCTCGCTGAGGTTTATTACTAACTGTATACCATCATTATGAATTGTGTTCTTGAGTGGGATGGCCTTCTTTATCCACCAGAAGGTTGAGACATTGGTTCACTTTCATTTATAAGGCCATGCTTGTGCAGGGTTTGGTAAATTGAGTGCCTTAAGAGCTCAATAGATATATTACCTCTACTTATGACTAGGGGTTGTATGAACTAGTCGACTAGTCGACTTCACTGCTCTATAGTGACTTTTTATGCCTGTCATCCACTAGTCGCTGTCACGTGATAATGACCGACAAGATGCAGTCCTCGGAAAAGACAGCAGGTGGTGAGCCCCTGCACGCTGAGAGGCGACGCGCTGTGCCAGAGCGTCGGTACTGACTCCCACGGTAAAACGGACATTTAACCAAACTGTGACGTTTACCGTCTTGCAATTTAACCTTCCCCTCACCCCATCCTAACCTTAAACAGCTTGCGCATGCAAAGCTCTGATCGTTGACGCGCTCCAGACATCTGCATCCTGAGCACGGCCACAGTAACATTATCAAATCAGGTGTCGCCACCTCAAAAACAAATTTAACACGCGATCGTTCATGTCGGCTCATTTCCTTTTAAGTTTTCTGTCTTTCATTTGTGCCTGATGCGTTTCGCTGCTGTGGAGCGGGGCACATCACCTGTTTTGTCCTCGATGACGCACCGATCACTGATGTGGCCGGCGAGCACTCCGCTGTTTTTGTGGTCGGTAGATCTTTTAGAACTGCAGTTCAAAGGTAACTCATAAGGTGAATATATATGAAGGCAGGTAGCAGTTTCTCTTTAGGATTGAGAGGAGATGCAGGAAGATAATAAACAGGCAGGACAGAAAAATAGTCAAATAAAAACAAATTAGTTTTTGTACCTGCTGGTTGCAACAAACAGACACCATTGGAGGAAATCAGATGTGAGGAACAGAAAATGAAATAATTATTTTAATGTTTAGAGCAGCAGGAACTCCGAGAGGCTGCAGGCACATCAGTGAGTTTGCGGCCGCTGCGCAGGGGGAGGGGGGAGAGGGCTGAAGCGGGGGGGGGGGGGGGGGGGGGGGCTGAAGCAGAAACTACCGTTGTTAAAAGAAATGTGTTTAACTTTGAAAATGTGGGCGCAATTTCAATTGTCAAAAACGTGAGCGAACCAACTGTATGACGTCATCAAAGACTAGTCAAAGTCGACTCGATTTTCATTACTTGACTGTCGACTTTAAAAAATATTAAGTCATGCAGCCCCTACTTATGACCAATAAGCTGTGATACTCTATTTCAACCCTGCTTGGTCTTTACGGTGTTTAATCAGAAGATCTAGGATTCTTGCTTTGTCAGGGGATTGTACACACTTCGTTTTGATTCAGAAAAGAGTCAGGTTTATAAAAGTAAAAATTTATTTTACAAGCAATTAAAACATGACAAGTTAACTAACATTTACTGTGATGGATGGAAATAAAGGTGATGTATGAACCTATGTGTGAATGCGGTGTTAGTCAGAACTTCCGTATCTAGGAGAGCTGAGTTCTGGATGTAAAAGAATTTGGTTTACGTTAAGCTATGAGTTGGTTGTCATCAAAAACACATCAGACGCAATCTGTCTTGTCTACGTACCCACTCGAAGACCCTCGTGATAGATCCGGAATGTCGAAGTCCTCGGACTTCCAGGCACCAAGGTCCGAAGAAGAAACTGCGGCCCCACTAAACCGGTCTTAGAGTTGTCTCCAGGTCACAACAGGCAGATGGAACCGCGCGTCTGGGACTCTTAAGGAGTCTAAACAATATCAGCTTGTTCTGCAGGAACTGTTTCTGTATCAGCTTCGCAGGTGCAAAAAGATTTTGATGACGTGTCAAAAGCTTTGATGCGTTAAAGAGGGTTTTGCTTCAGATGGCCGGTCTGAAACTTTCTCTAGAACTGAGAGCTCGCCCGAGAGTGATCCAGTTTTGATGTTCTCATGTTATAATTTGTGTAGCCAACCAAAGGTTGACAAGTTGAGGAATGGTTACCAAGACAACGTCAGAAACACGCCTTCTTTGATGCAGAGGCTCTGACTAGGATAAAAGACTATTTATGTGTCAGAGTTTTACTTAAACTTACTTTGTCCTTATGTGAGTGCAAATGGTGATGACCTTGTCGTATCAACATGCTGAGACATATTTCAATCACTGTAATCATAACATAACATTCATTTCAAACTTCAATCATTGAGCACATATTAATGACACATTTGATTATATTATAATAATTATAAGTAGAAACATACAAATGTTTATTTAATGATTATTTAGCTTATAAGTTGTAGGAGTTCATATCTGATTTAGGAAATCATTCTTTGACTTAGCAACTAATCCGGGCTGCGAGTGTTCCTTATATGGAGGCATGAAGAATCCTGAAAGATTGGACCTTGCGGAGAGAATGTTATTGTTGACATTTCGTTATCTGTGTTCAGAGCTGCAGGCTCTGAACTGATGGGATGAAGGCAGGCCAATTTAAAGGGAACACATGCAGTCTTGTGTCTCCTTTTTGACCAGATGTTGAATAGATGTTGAGTGGTTAAACTATACGTAAAAACTGACCATTGCTGGACGTTACACCTGGATTCCTACTCACCTACAACTGTAACTTAAGCTCAAAGAGAAGTGTACCTTCTTACAGTCTGCGTGCAAACCATCAGTTGTTACTTTGTGTTTCATTTGCTCGCACCGAACTGGGCAAAATCTTTTCTTCACTCTGCTCCTTCTGCATGGAACAGGCTGTAGGAAAACTGGAAATTAACTGAGTTTATCTCCTTGACTACATTTAAAACCAGACTGAGAGCCCTTGACACAGATTCCCTGTGTTGTAACTGCCTTCTGTAATTTTGTACATACCACGTCTGTGTAACCGAAAAATTTTGTAACTGTAACTTTTGCTGCCTCTTGGCCAGGATTCCCTTTAAAATTAGGTTTTTATTCTCAAAAGAACCTTCCTGGTAAAACAAGAATAAATAAATAATAAATAAATAAACCTACAGGCAGGTCTAGGGGTGGGAATTGATACGTTTTTCCAATATCAATGCCAGCGTTGATTCTGTCCATCAATTCCTGATCAATTCCCAAGTAGTTCAATGGGTGGCAAAAAACTAAGTGCACACTGTCCCTGCATTATAACTATCAGTGTATTAATGCTTAAAAACATGACGTTCACTTTAAGTCATAGCGTACTGTGTGTGCAAATGCTTTTGCATATTTATAGGGTTTCCTTTCTTTAATTAAATATCTACTTTGCAAGTATTGCAAGTTGCCCTGTTGTCATCCTTTCTTGTAAAGTATAATCAAACATTCGAGCATACGTGCCATTTAGGCGCCATGTTTCCTGCTGAGTAAAAATGCCTTAAGCTACATAACAGGTGTGGTGATGTCATTTGCACTGCATGGAATTGATAGAATTGTTTGCAAAAATGCATTAAAACAGTGGGAACCGGTTCTCGAGTAAAGTGATCTATAACACTGTAGCGTGAAAGACCTACATTTGTTAATCATGACCAATAAGATGTGATGATTCCATATAAATATGAAATATCAACCCGATTGATCTTTGTTTAATCAGAAGATTCTAGGGTTCTTTGCTATTTTAGGGACCATAAACACACTTCGTATTAATTCAGACAGAGTCGGTATATAGTTTATGAAATTAATTTAATTCTTTTTACTAAACTAATGATTATACATGACAAGATATGAATAATTAGATGGTGTAATGGATATGGAGTGATTAAATGTGATATGTGAAATGTTGTAATGGAAGCTAGACGTTTAGCAAAACTATTTTTTGTATCTGAGAGAAAAGGTGAAGTCTGGATTGTAAAAGAATTTTTTTCTTGTTTATAACTAGAGAATTGTTTATTTAAAAACCATCCGACGCAATCTGTGCAAGTCTACACACCTTTTGTGTGGAGGTTCTCGTTCGATCCAGGGGGTCGTGCTGGTCACTGCCGGTGGAGTGAACCTCTCATATCAGGAACCCGTAGACAGCTCCTATAGGACCCGTCCTGTCTGAGAACCCTCCAGGTGAAGGCAGGTAGCTGGAATGCTTATTTCCATCTAAGGCTGATGTTTGCTTGGCTCTTAGAAGAGACAGAAAAAATAATAATATTGACACATTGTTGATAATATTACTACATTTCAAGGCTTTTTCAATACAGTGAAATTAGGTGAAACAGAGCCGAGTTGTATTAGAAAACAGCAATCCGCACAGCCCGACAGCCCGGCGAATCTGGGATGAATTAGTGCTGCCTCAACCTCCTCGTCTTTCATTGGGTCACTGGAGTTTAAATTAAGTGGATGAGAAACCCATGGGGAGGGCTCTGCATAAATGAGAGTAAAGTTGAATTTTAAACGCGTTAAAACTGTCACAAAGTGGCGTTAAAAGCGGCGTTTTATGTCACAGAACGGCGAAATAAGCGGCGTTCAAGGTCCGTACCAAACGCCGTATTTTACGCCACCCACACAGAGAACGCGTCTGGGATTAGGGTGACGTAAAAAATGGCGTTCATTGTCCGGAAAAAACGTCGTATTTTACGGGCGTTCTACGGGACCGTTCAGAACGGCGTCAATTACGGCGTTCTGGCAGAGTTTTCGCCGTATTTTACGACGTCTTGGCACATCAAACGGCGTTTTTTTCGCCATTTCTTAACTAGACGGGTTGGGAAAGTGGCGTATTGTGGCGGTTTTGGCTTGCCATAATTGGCCCTTCCCACGAGACGCGAAGCAGCAGGTGAGCAGCTGTCACCGACAGACCACGAAGTCACACGAGTGACTTCGTCAGTAAACACAACAACAAGCAGGAGAAAACTACAACATGGTTTGTGTTTTATGTTCTGTCCGTTTTATAATCGCCAATACGGACCTGAAAAACAAAGGAGACCGCTAGCTAGGTGATAACTTCTCACGGGGACGCACAGTTAGTAACCTTTTTTAAAAGTAAAGCAACCGGAAGGCAGTACGTTCTTTATTCTGAAAATCTCGGTAGATTCTCTCCATTTCCGCATCCGATTTCCTGTCTTTCCTTCCCCAAAAATGTCGAACTTGACCCGTTTCAGAGGCGTCGCGCGTAGAAAATAGAACCGGCGCGTAAAGGCCGCGACATGCTGCTCCTAACCCCGGGTTTCCACGGGAGCCGTCAGCAGCACGTTACTGCAGCAGCACGTCTTGCTCGCGTAAGCTGCTGCTTGGCCCTTCCCACGAGACGCGAATCAGCAGGGGAGCAGCTGTCACCGACAGAGCACGAAGTCACACGAGTGACTTCGTCAGTAAACACAACAACAAGCAGGAGAAAACTACAACATGGCTCCAAAATGTTTGTGTTTTTATGTTCTGTCCGTTTTATAATCGCCAATACGGACCTGAAAAACAAAGGAGACCGCTAGCTAGGTGATAACTTCTCACGGGGCCGCACAGTTAGTAACCTTTTTTAAAGTAAAGCAACCGGAAGGCAGTACGTTCTTTATTCTGAAAATCTCGGGAGCTTCTCTCCATTTCCGCGTCCGATTTCCTGTCTTTCCTTCCCCAAAAATGTCGAACTTGACCCGTTTCAGAGGCGTCGCGCGTAGGAAATAGAACCGGCGCGTAAAGGCCGCGACTTGCTGCTCCTGAGACGCGGCCGACTCGCGCTGCTGACGGCTGCCGACGGCTCCAGTGGAAAAGGTTCTGTTGACCACAGCGGTTCCTATCAGCAGCTATGACGTGCTGCTGCAGTAACGTGCTGCTGACGGCTCCTGTGGAAAGCCGGGGTTAGGAGCTGAAACTCATCTTCATTTAAAGCAGCAATGGCAAATGTTGAAAACAAATTAGTTTAAAACATTTTCATTTTCATGCATCTTAACCCCGGGTTTCCACGGGAGCCGTCAGGAGCACGTTACTGCAGCAGCACGTCTAGCTGCTGCTTGGCCCTTCCCACGAGACGCGACGCAGCAGAGGAGCAGCTGTCACCGACAGGGCACGAGGTCACACGAGTGACTTCGTCAGTAAACACAACAACAAGCAGGAGAAAACTACAACATGGCTCCAAAATGTTTGTGTTTTTATATTCTGTCCGTTTTATAATCGCCAATACGGACCTGAAAAACAAAGGAGACCGCTAGCTAGGTGATAACTTCTCACGGGGCCGCACAGTTAGTAACCTTTTTTAAAGTAAAGCGACCGGAAGGCAGTACGTTCTTTATTCTGAAAATCTCGGGAGCTTCTCTCCATTTCCGCGTCCGATTTCCTGTCTTTCCTTCCCCAAAAATGTCGAACTTGACCCGTTTCAGAGGCGTCGCGCGTAGGAAATAGAACCGGCGCGTAAAGGCCGCGACATGCTGCTCCTGAGACGCGGCCGACTCGCGCTGCTGATGGCTGCCGACGGCTCCTGTGGAAAAGGTTCTGTTGACCACAGCCGTTCCTATCAGCAGCTATGACGTGCTGCTGCAGTAATGTGCAGGGGCGTGTCCAGGGGGTGGCCTGGGGTAGCAGATGCCACCCTTGGAATCTAACTGGCCACCCCAAGTGCCACCACACTAATTTACCTTTAAATAGGTTTTTCATTGTCCACAAAAGGCTTGGGGGTAAAACAACAAAAAGCATAACCATTGGTGCCACCCATGCACAAAGTTGTGCCTCACCTGGGCCACCCCATTTTAAAAGATCTGGACACGCCACTGGTAACGTGCTGCTGACGGCTGCTGTGGAAAGCCGGGGTTACCCCAGGTTTCCACGGGAGCCGTCAGCAGCACGTTACTGCAGCAGCACGTCTAGCTGCTGCTTGGCCCTTCCCACGAGACGCGACGCAGCAGAGGAGCAGCTGTCACCGACAGGGCACGAAGTCACACGAGTGACTTCGTCAGTAAACACAACAACAAGCAGGAGAAAACTACAACATGGCTCCAAAATGTTTGTGTTTTTATACTCTGTCCGTTTTATAATCGCCAATACGGACCTGAAAAACAAAAGAGACCGCTAGCTAGGTGATAACTTCTCACGGGGCCGCACAGTTAGTAACCTTTTTTTAAAGTAAAGCGACCGGAAGGCAGTACGTTCTTTATTCTGAAAATCTCGGGAGCTTCTCTCCATTTCCGCGTCCGATTTCCTGTCTTTCCTTCCCCAAAAATGTCGAACTTGACCCGTTTCAGAGGCGTCGCGCGTAGGAAATAGAACCGGCGCGTAAAGGCCGCGACATGCTGCTCCTGAGACGCGGCCGACTCGCGCTGCTGACGGCTGCCGACGGCTCCTGTGGAAAAGGTTCTGTTGACCACAGCCGTTCCTATCAGCAGCTATGACGTGCTGCTGCAGTAACGTGCTGCTGACGGCTGCTGTGGAAAGCCGGGGTTACAGTATATTGTGGAGATTAAAAAACTAATAAAGTGGTTGACTTGCATTTGTCTAAAAACCTCCACCAATCACACATTTCAGACTGAAAGCAAACTTTGAACCATCTGGTTGTCGGTCTTGCTGAACTGCTGCACTTCTGCACGTCCCTGGGTCCTCCACTCATTAAGCACTCACACTGAACACCACTGAGAGGTTCTCTGCTTAATAATAGAGAAACAGCCCGCTGCTACCACTGCAAGTTTAGGACAAACTACCAGAGTCCCAAATAAAAAAAAACACCATTTGAAGTCATGGATAATAAAAGATATTTGGACCTAGAAAATGGCGACTGGTGTTTAGCACTATCTTGTTTCGTCCAGCATTGCTGGTTTCTGGTTAAGGCAGAAGATACATGAGGGGAGGAGTGTTTGCTTTCAAAACCTTTCAAAATCTGTAGATTCGCAATAACATCTTTAACAAAAATGGTTCCCCGGAAAACAATAAGCTGTGCACGACACATCATGCTTGTGAAAACATTTCCACACTTTTTGAACAGACTCTTGTCTCCCTTTGTTTGTGCTGCAGCCCGACAGCAGAAACCAGCAGGAGGCTGACGGTTGATGAGATGTACCTCATCGACTCTGGCGGCCAGTATCTGTGAGTAAAAGCACAAGTTTCACTTCATGCCTCATTCATCTGGAACGAGTCCCTCTGACTTTCTCCCGCAGAGACGGAACCACTGACATCACTCGGACTGTTCACTGGGGAACACCAACAAAAATGCAAAAAGTAAAGCCCAGAAAGTGGTTACATTTGAAAAATGCTTGTCTGGTGTTAAATGCTTTTGTCTTTATTCACAGGAGGCCTTCACACGAGTGCTCATGGGAAACATTGAGATCTCTCGAACTGTTTTCCCCTCAGGCACAAGAGGTGAACAGAACCAATCAAGAACATTAGAATATTTCGGTTTTCCCCTGAAATATGACTCTGTGTCACCACTAGAGAGCTCCCTTCCTCCACATCTGCTAGGAGGGATTGTCAGATTTCAGCTCTGTACCTTTGATTGTCGACAGGTGTGAACATAGAGATGTTGGGTCGCCGAGCTCTGTGGGAGGTGGGCCTGAACTACGGCCATGGAACTGGTCACGGCATTGGGAACTTCTTTGGTGTCCATGAGTGTAGGACTTCTTTGTTTCTATTTTTCTGACTTGTGTTAATGTTGGGCACAAAAAGAGAAAATAAATGCTGCAGTTTTAAAAAAGAAAAAAGAAAATAATCCCAAAAAAAGACAAAGTCTTTACATCCAACAGAGTTTTAGCGTTTTAGAGTGTGACTAAAACATTGCACATATGTTAGCATGCATTTTATTTTGGACCGCAAGCACTTGTGATGTGGTTACACCATTGAGCAACCAGAATTATTGCACCAACGGGGTGATCAAGTTAGACTTGCATGTTTTTAATCTTCAGCAAACAACCTTAGTTTGTGTGTAAACATAAATAAAAATCCCACTTATGTGAATCTACCAGAACAGATTTCTAGATTTATACACTAATTCCTTTGAAATTATGATGATTTTGTGGTATAATATTGAGAAACTCTGATATTTTTTCAACAGAGTTGATTCTGAGATGGGTTTTTGCTTCTTTTTTTTGTTGGAGCTAAATAAATTAACTTAATCTCACCTTGTTTTACCGATTGAAACAATGTCGGTTCAAATGTTTTCCCAACATATTATTGAAACATGGTTTGTACAGTCGTCCCACAGATTTGACCTTTATGAACTTCATAAACCTTCAACCGGAACCCTTTGTCTTATTTGTTTCAGTAGGAAGAAAGAAGTCAAAGCAACAAGCATCATTTTGTATTTGGATTCATGCTAAACAGGAAAACCATCGCCTAAAGGCACTAAACCACTAAAATAAAGAAAGCTGTTCTGTTTCAGACCTTTTAAATTAAATTCTTCTATCCATCCATCCATCCATCCATTTTCATCCGCTCATCCAGAGTAGGGTCGCGGGGGCAGTAGCCTAAGGCAAGGGCCCAGACTTCCCTCTCCACAGCCACTTGGACCAGCTCCTCCGGGGGAATCCCAAGGCATTCCCTGGCCAGGTGAGAGACATAGTCCCTCCACCGTGTCCTGGGTCTTCCTTTAGTTCGCCTCCCGGTTGGACGTGCCCGAAAAACCTCACCAGGGAGGCATCCAGGAGGCAGCCTGACCAGATGCCGGGCCACCTCAACTGGCTCCTCTC